TTAATTAAGTTTATGAAATTTTTTTTAAATGAAAATCTTTCTAATGTCTTAGAATATAAGTAGATATGTAATGTAGATGGCTTGTAAAATTGCTGCTGTAGAAACGCTCAAAGTAGAATATTACTTGAAGTAGAATATTATATTAGAAAATGCATGCATGGTAGTAATAGTGGGAATAGTAGTATTAAAAATGGTGGTGGTCTATAAATAGATATAAGATATAGATATAACTCTATGTGAAATACATGTATTTTATTTTCATTTTTATTTATTTATTTATTGATTTTAAACCTGATTTTAAACCGTAATTGTCAATATTTTATAAATTTATTTCCATTTATGCCATGAAAATATAAAATATTGATATATCTTAAAAGTAATGTGTTTGTGTTTCAAGTAGAGTTATATACAATTAATTTAATTTTTATTTTCAGGTTATTTTCAGGTTATTTTCAGATTATTTTCAGATTATTTTCAGATTATTTTCAGGTTATTTTCAGATTATTTTCAGGTTATTTTCAAGTTATTTTCAGGTTATTTTCAGATTATTTTCAGGTTTAGCTTGTCCTGACGGTTTCCCTTAGAATTCCTTTTTTTGTTTTTATTTTGTATAAGGAAAATTTGAAGTTATATGCATTTTTGCAAAGTTATATGTATATTTAATATAAATAAAGTAAATATTTATATATAAATAAATAAAAAATTAAGTAAATTATACGAAATATAAACAAAAAAATACGAAATGAATAAATGAAATGAATAAATGAGTATATAATAAATAAATATGTGATAAAATAAAAAATGAATGAATGAAAATTTACTAAATAATAATAATAAAACAAATAGATAAAGTAAATAAATGAATTATAGATAGATAATAATTAAATTAATAAATAAGGAATAAAGAGGAAGATAAAGGATAAAAGTAACAATATCGCAGGAACAATATCGCTGTTTTAATTTAAAAAAATATATCATTTTTTATTAAAATTTTTCATTCAGATTATAAATAAACAATAAATGTGAAAAAATTGAATAAAAATTAATAAATTATCGATCATTATATTTAAGAAATTAGTTTATTTATAATTAGATATTATCGGTTCAATATACGATAATATTTTCGTTAAACTTCGGTTTTCATCATCATTTTTAAACGAACTTTCGTAACGATAACATCGTTGTTATAACATTTTAATTAAATTTAACTGAATTTTCAGTTATTTATTTATAATATTTATTCTAAATTATATTAAATACTTTTATAATAACAAAATAATTTTATATATTATTTATTCATTTCATTTTTTAATTATCATTTTTTTATTACTTTCATTTTTATTTATTTACTTTTTTTAATTTATTCTTCTTTACTTATTTTTTTTAATTTTTTATTTATATGTTTATTTTTTAATTTATTTTTTTTTTAGTTATTTTATTTTTTTTATTATTTTTGTTTTTAACTTTGAATTTTATTTTTTATAATTTTTAATTTTTTTATTTGCTTTTTAATTTATTTCGTCTGAATTTTTAATTTTTGATTAGTTTTAATTAAATAATTTTTAATTTTTATTATTTATTAAATTAATATATATATATGTATATATTAAATAATAAATATAATAATAAAAATATATATATATATATTTATTTGTATGTATTTATAATATAAATTTTATTGTTATTTTGTGTTTTGTTTTTTTCAGGTGGGTCTCGATGCGTAGTCACCTCCTCGTGGGTGAGACCTGGTAATTGGCATCGCTTTCCAAAATTTTTTTTCTTAAATTTTTTCTATTTAAAAAAATATTTTACAAATATTTAAAATTTCGAAATATAAAATATATTTCATCAGTAATAGTTTTCGGAAAGCGATGGCAAGCTAAGAACTATGCACACATGCAGTCCAGTTTAAAACATGGTTTCCATTAATTGTTTTGATTAATTATTGATAAACTGGACTGCAGGTAATTGATAAAATCTAAACAAAAATATTCTCATTAATTATTTTTATTGTATTTGTTATTTCATCTCTTTTTTTTTTCTTTTAAATAAGACGAGAATATTTTTGATACAAATAATTTATTAGTTAATGAATGACTATTGGTTTAATTCAATTTAAATAAATTTAAGCGCGTTCCATATGTTATTTTATGGTTTATTGTTTTTTCGTCGTTTATTTCATTTCAATTGCGTATCACGGAACGGTAACAGAAGATGTTGGACAAATACTCTACTTTCGGTTATCAATCGAGTGTCCGCACCATAGTCATTTCCTCGTGGCGAGATTTGGTAATTGATTTTTATAAATTATTCTTTGGAAAATTGTCAATATTATTTTTAAAATTTTTCCACTAACTTTTTCAAAAATCGATATCAAGTTAAGAACTATTCAAAACATGCAATCCAATTTAAATTTTCTTTGGTCATCTAGAATGGATTGTAGGTATTTATTAATGTTCATTATTATTTGAACCTGGATTTCAATTTATTTATTGTTTTATTATAATTTAATTGTAAATTTTTTTAAATATTGTGATATTATTTTTTTAATTTTAAATTCAATTAATAATTTAATGTAATAGAATAATGGTTTTAATAACATTTATTGGAATTTTCATTAATTACTTGCATTTATTAGAATTGAAATGTCTATTTTTGGAAGAATTATTCCTTTAATGGCATAGGATATTACAGACAGTGACATGTAATGTTAAATACTTTTATTACACATATGCTGTAATCACTATTATATTTATAATGTATTTATAATATTCCGATAATATCTTACTCCTCTATACAAAAATAATTACAATAATAATCGTTATTGGCATAGGCAAAATCGTTATTTATTGAAATTTATTGAGCACAATTATTTTTTTCCTTATTTTACACAAGTAAACCTATATTAAAAGTCATTTAAAATTATAAGATTTTAATTATTTTTTATACATACACACGTTTATAGGTGCGTATGTTTATATATCATGTATATTTATATTTAAATTCATTCTGTAACCTACAACGCATACTAACAATATATCAAAGTCTTTCATTACACTGGTAATATGAATTTTTGACAAAATACTGAATATTTCTCTTCTTCTCCTTTTCTTCTTCTTCTTTTTGCCGCTTTCCTGTCATTTTTTCTATTTCTTGTTTTCTTATACTTATCTTCACGCTATTACGTTCATTCTTTATCTCTATCTCGCATACACGAACAATTTGATAGCATTAAAGAACATTCGAAAATGTAATTTTTTTTTTTCGTGCGCTTACTCAAGAACCCTGATCAATTCGTGTTTATTAAGAAAATTTCGTGAACAGTTCATTCTTCGTCAGTCAAGAGAGTCGAATTGTTCGATTTTATTTATTCGTTTCGAACGAATATCGACTTAACTATAGTTTGTACCGCGACAGCACATCTTCATTATTTTACATTATTATTCACACACTATTTCGGTAAGTTATGCAGATTTAACGCTGCATATAACTGCATAACATTTCTAAACATATATATCTGATCGTTCAATATTTCTCTGGCCAGTTTTTCGATTTTATATAAAAACGGTATAAAATTCGTGTTGTGAATCGAGCTTAGAAGATAATTCAGAATTGATCGGAATGGAAGAAATTGTTTAATTAGATGTTAAAGACGTAAATAGTAGATGTGAAGTGTAGTTGATTAAAGTAATGGTACATTAGAATGCTACATTATCGATAGTCGTTTGCAAGAAAACGCGAACTCCGAAAAACATTAAAATTCGATTTTTTAGATTAAACAACTATTTTTTTTTTTCAAATTCGATTCATTTAAAGAAATGGGATCTAGACGTAAATAATAGAATGCTTTGTCTATATCCTTCATAACAATTTTTTTATATATATGAGTATTTGCATCACAATAAGATATAATTTAAAAAAAATTTAATGATCCGTCAATTGTTTACAAATGATTCGATTTTATAAAAGAATAAAATGAAAAGCATAAAATATTAAAAGTGAAACAAGCTAACGTCACGCATATAATATCTAGGTATTGTAACAATCTCGAAATATTTCGACGTGCAACGTTTTCAATTGGCGTTGCAATTATATGGCACGTATTACGCAATAAAGTTTGCACATTTTGCTCATCTCTTTTTTTTCCCATTTTCTCTGAACATCCTTTAAAAACGAATGTCAACATCCAAGAAATCCATTCTTCTTAAACTTTGTCGTTTCCTCATTTCAAATGTGCAAGCTTCTGTCGGTAACTCGTTTATAACGTAGGGTGATCATATCTTATGTTTCAAATATCTTTTTTTATAAAATTATATCATCATATGATGTACAATAAATATGAAGTAAAGATAAATGTATATTTAAAAATATAGTTATTGAAAATATTTTCTTTGAAATTAGTACGAAATTAAATAGACAATTTATAATATATATAATTATAATTAAGACATTATTATAAAAATTATTATAAAAATAATACAAAACTAAGAATATTATGAGTTTAGAACTTAATATTATTATATTAATGTTAAAAAGAATAAATCTAGCTAATAGTTTAATAACAATATACTAATTTATCCTCGAAAATCTTATTAAAAATTGATACTTTGGTTTTGTGATAGAGTTTCGATTATATATATATATATATTTGATAAAATTTATAACGATTTTAAAGGAAGTGAGAAGACAATTTCAATACATTAATTTCATTTTAACATATTTCTATCTTACTTTTTTCGCGATTTCTTTTTTTTTATTTAACGTAACGATACGATCACCTTACTATATAACATTTTCTACGTTAAATGATTTAGACTAAACAAAAATTACGCAAATAGTGAATAACTATTCCATTTAAGAAAAAAGAATCATTTCTTTCCATCAGGGACGGTTAAAGCTTCAAAAATGAGCAACGATCGAACATATAGAATGAGTTTAATATAACCAACAAACGTGTATATTATTCACTTCCAAAATTTTAAAATTTCTGTCTTTCTTTTTCTCTTTAAATTCTATTTATGATTAGATAACATCGTTATAATAACACCGCATTTATCTAAATCTGTACACGAAATTTTTCGCGTCATTTATGTTTAACAATAAATAATTAAGCTGCGGAAAAACACCTCGAGACGTTTTAACTTTCGACGCAGGCTCAATATATATATATACATAAATATCATCTCATTAATTCTAACGCATTTCTACAAATTATACTTTGTAGACGTAATACTGAACGAAAAAACAATTAGGGATTTGCCATCTTGATTGTACTTTGTGATATCGCAAATGATAAGTATTCTATTTACCAACTAAGTCAAAGTATACAATGAGAACACATTTTTATATATATGTTATAATTCGAATTGATGAATTATGATAGAAAATTTTGCAATTTTTTTTTCAATCGTTTTCTCTATTTTTGTTTTTTTTTTTTTTCATTTTTTTATAGTTGAGAAGGGCCAACGAAATTCACATTTTTCAATTATTAGAACCATTACTGTCGATTACTGCGCCATCGGTTGTTTTATCCGCGAAACAGAAAATTCGTTTCTATTCGAGATATCGTAATTCTCGATATCTCGACAAGAAGTTCGAGACATCGCGATTTCGACATAATCATTCCCGCATTTCAATAATAACTCTATCACAAATCATTCGGAAAGCATATAATATATTCGTATTATATTTCGCGCAAACATTTGTGTGTGTGGGTGTATGTGTGTGTGCGTGTGTTTTTATATTACTTTCATCGTTCATTATTTATTGAGAACCTTCTGTAACATATGTACGAGAAAGTTTAACGATAACATATCATACACGTCGCGTCGTTCCGTTCGTAAATGATTTACGAGGATCGTGCGGTAGTCTTTTCTTTTTCTTTTTGTTTTTTCTTGTTTTCTTGTTTTCTATTTATTAAATGAGTTTAACTTTTTTTTGTAATTAACGGTGCGTGGAAAAACGTTTATAAGAGTAGAACGTTGCTTCGAATGATAGAAAGTTTTAGAATCATGTCGTTGGTGCATTTGAGACTGGTGGTGTATCGGTACGCCATATTGAGCTACCAGATTGGCTGATGGTAGTAATCTGTAAATAAAGATAATCAAAATAAAATATATTCTTTTTAAATAATAGTAATAAAGTTTATTTCATTTAAATCATTATTAAATTATATTGTAAAATTATGAGAAAATTTATTAAATATATTTGCTTTAGAATGATATATTTTTATATACTTTATTACTATTCTTCTTCTCGAAATATTTATACATATAAATATAAATTATACATTATATAAATCCACTAGTCAAAATGGATTTTTCTCAAAGAATCAGTATGTAACATTGAAATTTCATTATAATGATTCTTTAACTTTTTATTATTAATAGAATATTACTATTTTATAATTCGAATTTTAAAAATTTTGAACAAATAACTGGGGATAATTCTAGTTAACTAGAATTATTATAGATCATTGCATGGGATATCTCATTCTCAAAAACAAATGGTATGACAGATCTATTAATTGTCACCTTATTGTCATGTCCGATTAATGGAGTTTCTGCTGTGGTCTCGTCATTGTTACGACTCATGTATGGATGTGGAGGTGGAACATAAATCGGCTTAGAATGACTGGCGACTTGCGCGTAAATCGTCGGTTCCTGGATAGGTTGCCTACGCGTCAGAGTCGACATGGGCAGCAGTTGAGGTCGTTGAATATTGGATACCTGTACTGGCTGATAACAATTAGGAGGTATTCGTCGGTTACCCCGAAGCGACAGCTCGGCGTACGTTAACTCTGATCCCTGCAAAATCATTATTGATTATGCAAATTATCATTTATTGATTTAATATAATGAGAGATACGGGTTTTTTCGTGTTTTCTTTTTCTCTCGTATTTCGATTCATATATTTATTGAATAGAGTAGTAATACATATTTTAATTTAAAAAATTATATATATATGCATCTCGTTAAAGGTATCCAAATAATTCAGGCTATTAAACTTCTTAATTTAATATAGATATTTCTTTTTTTCATTTCAAACGTGTTATATGCATATAGTGGGAAATAAAGGGTTTTCATAGCAATTCGTACTCACGTTGCCTGTATTGGTAAAAGTACTTGCATCCGATCGTGGCTGGTGTAATACATAACGTGGTGAAGTACTCTTGCACAATTCAGAGTAAGAATTCTCTGCGAAAATGTGGAATTTAAAAAATTAGTAAGGCTAATAGTTCGTTTTTATTTTTTAATGATATTCGAATAAACAGACATTCATATTGTTGAATTAATATAAATTTTTTTAGTAGAATAAAATTCATTAATAATAAAACCCTCTCCCAATTTTACAACACATAATCATACACCATCAACTTAACACGTCGAATACTTATTAAATTACCCACCATTAGCGTGAGGAATTATATCTGGATCCTTCTCGAAACTCTCAATACTGTCGGAATTGAGAGGTAGGGTCGACGATTTATCACGTGGAGAGGAGCTGCCGGTACCGGACGCGGCCAGGTTTGCCATGCCACCGTCGTCGTGAGAGTCCTTGTCCTCCTGAGACCTTGCTCGAAGCCGTAATTTCACCGCCAGGGTTATCACGAAGCCCACTAGTAGGACACCTGCTGTCGATCCGACTACCATACCGAACAGTGGTCCGGACAGCGACAGTATCTTTGGCGTGAGAGCTGAAAATCATGTTAAGTACCATGAGTATTTTCCTCTTCTTCCCTTCTCTTCTTAGGACTGTTGCAGGGACGATAGGATTTCTTTTCGGGGGATATTCTTATAGAAGAATTAATAAGAAACGATTTATCGCGTTTACAATCGTTTACAAAAAGAAAATTGACGATTTTTGTCGTGGATACGATTTTTGGATTTTCAGGATTTTTATAAAAGTAGTTATAAAATTATAGGAAAAGGCAACCTTGATCGAATAAAGTAAGATAATAAATAAGTGGGTAGACAAGTAGAAGTTGTGGTTAATCGAGTGGAATAGGGTCAGTTATTGGTCAGACAGTAGAAGCGTGGCAGTTGAAGCGCGTTTTGAAAAATTATGAAAGCGATTGGAATCATATTTCTGTAAAATAATTATATAATTTTTATGATAAAATTCGTTATAAATATTTTTTTTTATTGAATATAGTAGTTAGTTAGTTTTGACTTAATTATTATAAAATTATTTCTTTATTCTTGTTTTGTTATAATTAAATATTTTATTTGCAAGTTTTTGGTTTTATTAAAAATTTTTCTTAAGATTCTGTAAGAATTAAAATATCAGGATGTTGTGTTATTTTATAATATCGTTCTAATATAATTTTTTGATTTTTCTTTTGAAAATCATACAATGATTCTATTTAGAAAGCGTTAGAAATTAATAGAAATTAGTATATGATTATACAAAAATATATCTTTTTTAAAAATTTCTTTACGATAAAAAAAACGTGTTAAATACTCGAGTTTTTATGAAATGAACGACATAAGAAATTCAAATAATTCTCGGGCACGATCATGATTCATTTGCTTGCATAATTTCAAGCTACAATTTGATTTACGTTCCCCTTTCACATTCCAGATAATAATGGATTAATATCTCGGTAATAAACGAGCACTGGGCTGATTAACCATGGTTCAATGCGTTTCGTATTTAACCATCGACAATTATGTAAATGAAATTTCATCATAGAGTTGACCGTCGTTTCTGATCACGACAATATTAATGAACGAACTTGTTTTCAAGCTAAAATAAGAAAAATCTCTGTTTATCAAAAAAATTTTGAAAAAAAAAAAAAGAATTCATAAAATGATGTTTCAAAGATTTCTTTTTAAAATTCATTAAAGTGTTAATTCGAGTTGCAATAAAAAGAAGCTGTGCGTCATTTATGCATGTTCCACATTACGATATCGTAGCAAGATTCATCATTCACATGCAAAATTTCTACATACATAAACATAGATCTACGATCACAAGCCAAAGCGCGCCATATTGCAAGCAGAAAATATTTCTGATTATTATATTTCTTTTGGACAAATGTTTTTTTATTCTTCTCATTGCTAATTATAGTGTGCTTTAAGTTTTCACTCGATTTTCACTGTTTCATAAATTCTCACTTTGTTTCATGAAAGATTGGCACATTTTATGAGATTTTTTTTTTTTTCAATAAATGATGCTGTAGATACAAAAAAATGAGTGAAATTAGTTGAAATTAGTTATACAATAACTTACTAAAATTTCTTTTTTAATTTTCAATCACTTAATATCATAATAGAAAAATTAAAATAAGAAAAAATTATAAATATTTTTTTTACTCATAGAAAATTTTTGAAATTTCTTTATTAATCTTTATAAAATGATCTAACAGCATTCCTATATAAAGTAGGAAAAAGAAAAAATCAAATATTAGAAAAAATTTTCTAACATATTTAACATATTATAACAAGTTTTTATTTTTAAAATTTCAAATTATTTGGAAAAATATAAAATATGTCCGCCAAAGAGATTGTGTAGCAACAAGAACAGAACCTTGAAATCTCTCTCTGTTATCTCTTCAGAGAAAAAAAGCACATCCCCAAACTGCCCCATAGAGAAATTCCTCTGTTTCCGTGTGGAAATCGTTTTCCCTCGGAACAACAACAACAATTTTCGAGACAATAGGATGAAAGGACGAAAATGGACCATTCAATGTACCTCGACGAATGAATGAATGAAACGTGTCAAATAAATGATGACATTCTAAAAGCGTGGACAGATTTTCAACGAGATGCACCGCAGAAAGAAACGGATATCATAGAACGAAAAAAGAAAGGGACCAGAGATCATGAAATAGTCGTAAAAGGTGGGTTCGTAAAAATGTATATTCCCGGGAGCGATCATAAAGGCACTTTCAATCCTTCAATTTCTTTCTATTCTTGCCATTTTTTGAAACGATAAGTCGATTACTATCGCGTGGAATATATTTTCTTCCTTTCTTTTGTTTTTTTTTTTCGTCTTCTGTTCCAAAAGAAGATAATTTTTATTTTTTCTCATTATACAGAGCGATAAGAAAATGGTATATAAATACTATAAAAGTTGTACTTACAAAAAGAAGATAAATAGGATATTATTCCTACAGATTAACCTTTTTGATAAAAAATACAACAGTTTCTACATCTTTTATATTCTTTTTTTCTCTTTTCATTTAAATATAAAATTCATTAAATGACGCATACTTATAATACATGTATTTTATCTTAATACTTTTTATTATTTTTTTAATTCTTATCATAAAATTATCATAGCAATTATTAGTTAGGATTAGATTAGTTCTAAATCTTTTTTTCCTATCGTCTATATAGAGAGATAGTGTGACAGTAATCGCGTATTGGAAACGTTAATTCGTTTCGATGCCAAATGTCTCGCGTGGATTAACCGAACCGGCTAATTTAGGATTAATCGATTATATCTCCATCCCGGTGTAACACTGCCACATCCATTCGTGTTTGTGTCTGTGTCATGCAGTTCTCACAGTTGATCGAATTGATCTATATAAGTGGTTGCCCGACCGCCAATTAACCGATTTAGTTTATTCCACAACGTATTAATGTTGGAAAATAGATCGAAAAAGATTTACGAAACGATATTCCTTTTCCTTCCCTTTTTTTTTTGAATAATTAACAAAATTCTAATTGAAAATTGTATTTCATTGTTATCGGAGAAATATTAAAATTAGGTTACTATTGTTTCAAATTAACTCAAATTTAAAATCTTTTGAATTGAACCGTATGATTTTAAAATGTTTTTGAAATTAGGACATCTTGTTAGAGTAGTGTTAGATCATTGCTGTCCAGAAATAGGTTAAATTTTTAATACGATGAGTAGAATTATATAAATCTAAGATGTTTTTTCTTTTTTTTTTTTTTACACATCTGAATAATATATATATATATATATATATATATATTTCTATTACAATATTATTTGCAATTTAGATAGAATTATTTTTCGAAATTACGATGAAGATTTCGCCAGGTTTCAACACGTTTTTTTAAATAAAAATTATCCAGATATGTAGACGTCGTGTTTGCAGAGATAGTGAATTATCGTTACGCCCGTAATAAATCTGGAATTCAGATGCACTGTCCAGAACTTGCTTGACATTCAAGTTCGAGATTAATCAAAATCCACTTAAATTCACAAACTTCTCTAAACGAGTAGTAGCCCTCTTGTTCTGCTCCTGTGATTCTAAGTTGATATTAAACGCAGGAGGCGGTTGTCATTCGAATTCAAGAATAGAGAATTCTCTGCTATTCCCAAGATGGAAACTAGTTAATTCGAGGACAATTTTATATTACTTCGGTTCCCATTCCGTTGGGAATATTTTTAATTCGAGATAACTTGATAGTATATTGCCTTGTTACAAGAACACGTATTAAAGTATTTTTATTATTCACAGATTAAAAATGGACAACAAGAAACCCTTTCGTTTTTTAACATTACAATACTTATACTTTCGCGATAGATTTGACGATAGATAGGAAAGTTATTCGATGTTAAAACAAAGCAATAATTTTATAGGAATTTTTTTAATTTTCTTCAAACCAAAACGGATATATTTTTTTACTACAAAATTTTTTATTTTTCCCACAAGAATTTTCTTTCCTTGAACTAAATCTATCGATTTTCTTTCTTCTTTTTTCTTTCTCTATCCTCTTCGTCCCTTTTTCTCGAAATCTTATGATATCAGAGAATCGTGTTCCGCCGCAGACCAATTTCGGTTGAACGCCCTCCGGATGGTTCGCACGTACACGCGGTTGCCTTGGCGGTGTCCCTTGGAACCGGGAGTTCCCCGACTTCTCTTCTCTGTGTACGTACCAACCGTTTACAGGATGTATACGTGGGGACCTTTCGCCACGAATTCGCGGAGAGAACGTCCATTTGCATATTCGCGACCGCGCGTTAGCCCGTGGTTAAGCTGAAAGACGTTTTGTAATCACGTTCCGCGGACTGTTTATGATTTACTTTAACGGTTAACACGGCTACACGGTCGTTTAATAACCGATGATACGCGACGTGGATGCTCGACTATTAATTTAATCATGATCACGATGTCGAAACTCTCGATGATAACGTTTAATCGATAAATAAGCAAGGAAGAATTATGTAGAAGATTATAATCGAAATGGTTGATGAGATAGATGATTCTTTTTCTTTGTAGAATTTGTTTTAATTTTGGAACTTTGGAAAATGAAAAAGAATGATAATTATGATATTACACATATAAGACGAAAAATAATTACAGAAATCGTATTTATTTATTATTTTCTAATCTAGTTTTTATTAAGAAAAAATTAAGATGTAGATATATTAAAATTAAATTCCAATAAAGAATGAAGGAATGAAAAATTCTACAATGAAACGAATAAATTATTAGTTATCGTAGTAATTAATTCTTTTTAATCAAATCTAAACCAAAATCCATTTTTTAAATTTTAAAACAATACGATCTAAACTGTCTATCGCTAAATTATTCTTGTGTTTGCATCGCGATCGGATGGACGTTTAGGTGATTTGACCGGTTTAACGGTAAAATGGAAGGCTGTTCGATCAGATCGAAATTAGTTTTAAATCGTTATTATACATCATCAATTCCCAGTCAGAATTGATTGGAAGCGCAGACCTGATGATTTCGATAAGTTGTACACGATGTTGATTCCGTGTTTACGCCGAGTTTCGGTTTCTGGTTAATATTGGTGTAGGTGAACGTTAATTTTGGATCAGATTTTCAGTCGGATTTACCAGGATGATCCAATGATTTAATGATTAAAACGGCAGCTTGGCCGATCTCCGCATGATCCTAGATTAAGTCTGGATTATGTTAGGTAATCGTGAATTCTGGATTAGCTATCGGGCAACGTTTGACAGCATAATTTGATACTGTGATGCTCCTCCACCGCCTGATTCAATGCCGAAAGCTAATTCAACTGACAGCGGATACGCTTATTGTGAATTTCCGTTTGTGTTAAGTAACTTAGGTGGTGTTCTATTATGTAATTCTTTTATGCCCGCGTTTGAAATTGCGTTTGAATAGAATCGAATGGAAACTGTACACGAGTTGAGATAGGTGATGATAGTTCATGGATTAGATTTTACGTTTTAGAATTAAACAATAGTGAGAGGGATGCAGTATTATATTGAAAAATGGAAATAAAGTAATTGTAAAGCCTATTCGAAACGTGTTTATATATTTGAGAAAAACATAGTTTATTATATTTTTTCGAATTTCTTGAAAATATAGAATCATCGAGCAAATTCTTTTATTATCATATTTATTATTTTTAAAAAAGCAATAATTTAAATTAATTAGGAAATAAGAATGTCGATAGTAATTCAAATATCTTAGGGTGGTTCGTGATAGAAATTCGGAATTAATTAGGAATTGTTCTTCGACGCGAAGATATCTCTGTCAGATATCGAAACAGGATCGATAGGAGCTGAGATATCGATGACGAGCAATACTCAAACCAGAAGGCTAACTAGTTCGAACGCAATTCTGATCGGATTTCAATTTGCGAGCATTTCAGATGGGATGGCCGGTAACTCCAACTCCAACATTTAGTTCGGTGGTTGAGTACCACTGAATCAGATTCTGATAGAATCTTTCCCTATCGAGAGTCAACTAGTTCAGAATACCAAATGAGCGTAGAGATCCTTATTAATTCTATAAAAAAAAAAAGCGTAACGAGATGATCTACTAAAATTTATTTTCAAAATCGTGAAAACTAACTGATCTTTCGTGATTAAATTAATATAAATATTGGATGAGAAATTTGGGATGGTTTAGGGATAATCCACGACTTCAATCGCTTTACAATATTTACAAAATTTCTACGAAAATGATCTTGATGAATCTTAATCCGCAACTTTATCAAAAAAGCAAAACAGGACGTTGCTAAATAAATGGGACACTTTTAAAGGATCGTTTCTCGAAAAAAAAAAAACGAAATTTTTCTTAAATTCTTAGATCCCAAGATACTTCAATACTTCTAAACTTTTTTACTTAAGACAAGCACAACTTTACAATACTATCGTTTCAATCTCTACAAGATCGATCCTCTAAAAACGTTCTACATTTCTATGAACATCCCAACGAAAGAAAAAAATATCCTGTATAACAAAACCAAAGAAAAAAAAAAGGAAAAGAAAAGAAAAAAGAATATTCCCCCACAGAAAAGGAAAGATTGTTGACAGTCGATAAAAGGATCGCGATCTGGACACACAACAACGTTCCCAACAGACTTTATTAAAGTCCGCGGATGACTCGAAATCGAACACTAGCTCTGGCCCCTACCTGGGTATGCTTGATGCTCCTTTATCTTACCCTCCTGAACATAGTGCGGGCTGTGAAGAACCGTTGCGTCGCTCATCGCGTGCTCCGTCATGATCCTCAGCGAGAGCACCAGGCCCGAGTAACTCCTCTCCGCGGGCAGATCGGTGATCTCGAGCATGCTAGGCGTCATGCTCGTCGCGGACGCCAAAAGACGCCTCGTGTCCGCGTCGAAGACCTGGAGGACATAGGTGGCAGTACGGGGGTCGATGAACTCGCTCTCGGCGCAGCTCACCCTCACCGTTGTCCGACTCTCTTCCCTGATCGTACAATTCTCCGGGGGAGGGGGTTGCGCCAGCTTCTCACCTGTTACCATACCGGGCACACCATCCTCAGCTTCTCCTTCTTCTACACCTACCTCGACGCTCGAGTTTTTTGTTTTTTACGGGAATTTTTATATTTGATTTTATGAAGAGGGTGGTTAGGATTTCTCCCTACGTATGAGGGTGATGGAAGGGTTCTGTTGCAAGTAGAATTTTTCTTTCAGGGAAGAGGAGGGAGGAGGTTAAGCGGAGAGTTCAAAGAGAGAGATTGGGTTAAGTTTTTTCGACGGCGCTACGTCTCGCGAAAGGATTTTTCTCTTTCTTTCTTTCTTTCTTTCTTTCTTTCTTTCGAGAAGAGCGACGACTTCGAAGTCTTGTGTTTCAACCGTTTCCGTATTCTGTTTGCGCCGCGTTGATGACGAGCTTCAACGGTGGCAAACGTTTTTTTTCTTTTTTTTGGTCGAGCGATTTCTCTCTTTTCAACATTTCAGGGGAGGGAAGGATTTTTCGAAAGGGATTTCTCGTAGCTTTGACGATTGTTTGAGAGTTAGTTTGCAATCCGGAATGTATAATTTTCGTGGGCTATTGTAGTATAATTTCGACACGTTGAAGAGTGAATCTCAATAATCAAATTTGTCGATGTTTGATCAGTCTCTATTTTCTGTTTTACAAACCAAATGGCAAAAAAAGTGTCGTCATTTCAACGATGTTTGCCAAACTTCCATCAAACAAGCGTTCGTTACATCAAAAATTTCTCTCTCTCAAAAAAAAAAAGAAAAAAGAAAAAGAAAAACATCAAACGCGTTCGATGAAAAATAAAAATAAAGAACAATCCTTGAAAAGATAAAACTTGGAACAGATATTACAAATAAATCGAAAGGGTAAACCAGATTTTTAAGCAACAACCATCTCTCGAATGTTCTCTCTCTCTC